ATCGTCTGACACCGAGAAAACGGAAACATGCTGATCAACAAAACTGGAGGTTTAAACAATACAGTTAATAACACAGTCTTGAACCACGACAGTTCTGAACTGTGCCTCCCCTCTTGGATTCTAAACGCCGTCAACGTCCAGTCTGTATACATCAGTGACACTGGTATCATGGTCGTTAACATCCCATTTGCCATATTTGCCGTGATCGCTAACCTGGCTGTTATAGTCACAATAATCCGTTCTCCTTCACTCCACCGTCCAGTTAACGTGTTGCTGTGTAGCCTGGCTGCCTCTGATTGTCTAACTGGCCTTGTTCTTCAACCTGTGTACGTGGTATGGCGCTTTCTTCTGCATCAATCTCAAGACCCTTGCAAATTAGTCTATCTTTACCAAGCCAGTAAGTTTCTTCCACAAATGCTTCTCGGGTTTACCTTCGTAAACTTGGCAATAACAAGCGTCGAGAGATTGTATGCTGTTTCAAGCCCTCTTGAGCATTCAGCCAAAGTAACACTGCGAGGTATGAATAATAGTACTAGACATCCACCATTGCAAGTGGCATTTGCCTGTACCTAAATTCAGGGCTCAAAGATCGAAATTAATTAATTAATTCACTGTCTCTATCTTCTCGACAGAGACCTTGCTTTGAGCTACGGGTGAAAGAATTGGAAGTAAAAATATAGATATCACGCCTCTTTGCTTCTGTCAGTTTTTGCAACTTCTAATTTCTGTGTTTAGCTTCTGTGGTATTGCTGTGGAACAGCCTTTCAAGTTCGCGCTCGTAAAGATTGAATTCTTCCAGGCCACTTAATTCAGTTGCGAACGAGCATTCTACAGCCTCAGTATTTATATATACGGTATATTCAGTCAATACTTTTTAAAAATAAAAGAGGACAAAAATTTCCTTTTAGTACATAGGCGCGATTTTTAAGCTTGCATCGGCAGAGTAATCAGAATCACTAATGTTTAAAACAAAATCTGTTAATCAGGCGAATAATCTTCCTATTCTGTTAGGTTTACAAAGTTCATTTTGAATCCTTGATTTAAAAAAAAAACGAAAAAGTATCCAACTTACCTGATTAATTGTGTCAGTCTGCTTTGATTGTTTAAGTGATCGTTAGAAACGTGACATTTCTTGGTCGATGACCTCATGAGGACATCTTCCAAATTTAGGCACGATTGATGAACATAATTAAGAAATATTCCACATGAAATCTTAAGCAAAACCGTCTTAATTGCTACTTACCTTTTCATTTTTTTTAGACGTCAGGTAACTAATTCTCTCTTCCATTACATAATCCCCTTTTCACACAAGAACGTAGATACAGAACAAGGCTAGTTCGTACATCCATTTTAAGCTTAAAGGAAGATTTGCACCCAAATCTTACATTTTTGCTGCCTCGCAGGTCACCTGACGACAGTATCGATGTCGAATATGTCCCGTATCGTTACTGGCTACAAAAATGACTTTTTAATGCTGCTCCGCCAGTTAAGCTAATGGTTCATGCCTTAACTTGCTTGAGTCTTAAAATAATACATATATGATATTTCAGGGATGGTGAAGATTATCGTCAGTGTATGGGTGATCTGGTTCATCTACAGCCTTATGGAATTCATTGTACCTGCAGGGATTTATCAACCGTTGGAAAGTATGGTGTTGATTTCAGCGGTGGCAATACAGATTGGCGGACACGTTTTGACCTTCTGCGCAATCCGTTCCAACAACAAAAAGATCGTTAGTGCCACTCACAACTCTCAACAAACGATCCTCTTCAGAAGGGAGGAAAAGGCTTTTAAGAACATGACGTTCTACACAGTGGCGACTCTATTGACTCTTATTCCTGTTGTAGTGGTTCTTAATTTAGAACGCACCATCATTTCAGGAAACATTCTACTTCCTTGGGCTGTAACCTGCAGCCAGCTGATATCCAGTTTTAATCCTGCTATTCAGATTCAAAGAAATGCCGCTTTAAGGGAGGCACTAAAGATGGCCTTCTGAAAGTAAGGGCGCTCACCATTTGTCAGAAATGGCTGGCCAGGTCACGCAGCTCAGTCGTAAGGAGAATTCAGCTATTAATCAGGATTATCTAGCCAGATTAGTTTATTTCAGAATGGTATGCACGGCGGGGATGGGTTTGAGTAAAAATTTCGAAAAAGGACAATGAAACATTTCATTTCCAAAGTGACCGGTCTGACTTTTTGAAATCGCCGTTTTCTTTTCCCTTTAGCAATTGTTCAGTTTTACCCGTTGTTACTACTCTCTGGTAAATCCCACCCTTCTGTCCAGGGTAGGGGAATTGTTTTAAACGTGTTTCCTTGGGTTGCTGTTAATTAAAGCAAATCAAAAAGAACTTCACTCGGTCTTTTGATTTGCAAAGTAACAGGCAATTTGCATAATGACGTCATTTCAGTATACTACAAGAAGAATCCTTCAGGATTTTGCTTTTCTTGTGGAAATTAGGGCTGTCGTTATTTAAGCCTCACTGAGAATACCAATTTTAAAAATGAACGGAAAAATGACAGGGATTTTTTTGTCGTACAAGTGAAATCACACCATCGTGCAAATCACCTATTGAAAGTGATGAACGCATTTTTATCAGCTATTTCGGTTGTTTTTTTAGCCTGAACATTAGTAATCCTTGGGTACTAAAAAAAGGATCGGATCCTGTTAAAACGATATTGCTCTCTTAGGACCCATTTATATGAAGAAAACTTGTCTGGATGGAGGTGTTACTCACCTCCCGAGCTACCATGGTCTACCGTGGGCGACTGCAGAGCCAAATTTCCTACACCTTCTTGTAAAGCTTGGCAAACCTTTTACTCCAAAAACAAAAGGTTGGCTCGGCTAGAAGGGTGACCCGGTCACCCTCCTACCCGGTCCAACTTAAAACCTGGTCAAGGCGAGACGATCAGAGCATGCCCGAACGCTGTTGTTGGCTCGGTTGAAGGGGTCACCTTTTTTTTCTTATATACATAAACTGCGCCCGCTAAAGTTGACTCGGCTGGGAGGGTGATCCTTTATCCCAGGATGACTTTTCTTTTTTAAAACGGAGGCCTCAGTTCAGGAAAATTGCAATTTGCGCATTTTCTTTGTCACCCATCTTTGCCCCCTGCCCCCTGAATCAAGAGTTATGCAGAATTTGGGGGCGC